GTGCCAGAAAACAATAAAGTACTCAAAGAATGATCTGTCATGTCTGAAAGAATCAGGACCCAATTGAAGGGGTTCACACAGAACAGATCTGGGAAAAACTGAGCATCCAAATAAATAATAGATAATGGTGATTATCTGGGTAGCCTAGGCTGGCCTGGTGCTTATGATCCTCTTGTTTTAAATTTCTGAGTACTGTATTAATGGATTATAACTAAATGATACGGGAATACATGAATCCAGACTGATAAAAATTAATTAAAATTGGGGACCTTTTCCTGAAGCGCAAACTATTTCATAGTTTTAAAGCAATTTCCTACAAAAATCTTAGAAATTTCAAAGGACTAGAGCAACTTTACATTAGGGAACATTGGCAATTTTATAATCAAATAATCAAAGTGAAAATCATCAATAACAATATTTTTTAAGTTTCTTTCTCTCTCTTTTTTTTTTTTTTTTTTTTGATTTTCTTGTGCCATCTGGTCTAATAGGGTATGGTAAAGCACACAGCATCATCTCAGTGACATTGCTGCCAAGAGTGCCTGCCCCACATCTAATCATATTACAGTCGACCTGGAGTTTCCAACGGGTCAAAGTTGAAGTATGCTCTGGTAAGACCAGAGCTGTTGCAATGAAGGAGAGAAGCCAATGGCAGCGTGCAGTTCTGAACTGGCCATTCTGCAGAAATGCACATCAGAATGACACTTAACAGGGGTGTGGCACGAGCTGGCAATGTAGAAATGCCAACCTCCTGATTTCTGTTCAGCCTGGGTCGACATGGAATGTTTCCTTCGCAGGAAACACTTGGTAATGCGTTAGAGAGGCCCGATTTATCTTGTCAGCATTGTACCTTTCACATAGATCAGAGGCGGTGTTGGGGGGGGCGGGTGTCAGTTTTTGACGTTTCATATAAACCTGAGATTTTCTGAAGAAAAACAGCATTAGCTCGGCTTTCAGAAAAATCCTGATTTACTATAAACATTCCATTAAAACAGACGCTGAGGACTGCTCACCTGTGTGTTTGCTACTGTACTTTTGCTTTTTTAAGTTTGTGTGCGTGTGTGCACCTGTGAGTGACTAGATGTGCTATTAGGTGCTGGTGGAGGAGGAGGGTGTGCTCTCTTCCTTGGAACCTGACTTACAGGTGATTGTGAACCACATGGTAGACATGCTAGGAGCTGAGCCCACTTCTCTTTAGGAGCAGCAAGTGACTCACTGTTCAGTATCCCTCCAACTCCTGTGCTGTGTTCCAAAGAATATGTCCTTAAACAGAAAGAGTTAGATGTGTCCTAAGGCAGGCTTTCTTTCTTCTTTCCTTCTTTCTTTCCTTCTTCCTTCCTTCCTTCCTTCCTTCCTTCCTTCCTTCCTTCCTTCCTTCCTTCCTCTTTCTCTCTCCCTTTCTTTCTTTCCTTCTTTCTTTCTCATTCTTGTATGTAATTCTTTGATTTCTTGAAGTTGCTTTTGTGCTGTTGGCTTCTCCAATTTCACAGTAATAACGACAGCCTTGTGACTCTTAGCAACTTCTCACACTTACACTAACATAGAAAGAAAAGAAAAAAAAAATCCTTTACAACATTTTGTTGAAAAATAAACTCCTTGCCAGGAAGTGGTGGTTCAAACCTTTAATCCCAACGCTTGGGAAGCAGAGGCAGGTGGGTGGATCTGAGTTTGAGGCCAGCCAGGGCTACACAGAAAAACCTTGTCTGGAAAAACAAAAAACCCAAAACCTTCTTAAGATACCATCATCAGTAAGGTGTAACCCAAAACCTTAAGGTGCCATCTTCAGTAAGGTGTATTTCTGTAATGTTCGCAGAGAAAGAAGAAACATTATCTTTAAAAATGGAACTGTTTGTTTTACTGAGTCCTATTTTTCTGTTTTTAAAGTTATTGAGCTTAGCATAACTAATGTATTTATCCTATTCCAAGACAGTCTTCCCAGTTTTATTTATTTTTATTTTTTGAGGGAGGGTTTAATATATCGCTGATTGGCCCCAGATACACTATGTAACCAAGGACGAGATTGAATTCCTGATGCCCCGCCACCACCTCCCAAGTGCTGAGATTACAGGCATGTACCATCATGTTCAGGCCAAAGCGGAATCTTTTTTTTTTTTTTTTTTTCTTTTGGCCTTTCAGTTACACAAGTCAAGAACCAGAAAGGGAAATTTGACTGATCTTCATGCTCAGAGTGCCTTTGCCATATATCTAGGGGCAAGGAGCAAGCCATAGCTGGTTTCCCGATTTACACTTAAGTGATCCACCTAGCCATGAGCTTTCTTCCTAAAAAAGATCCTCAAAGTAGACCCAGGAAGCTGTTAGTTATCCATGAAGACCAACTTGAAACACATACTTACAAAGGCACACATACATACAAACACATTAAAAAATCTAGAGACGGTGCAATGAAGAAATGACTGGAGAGAATATTCTCTTTTTTAATTTTTATTTTATTTTATTTTATTTTTTTATTTTTTTTTTGGTGCCAGGTGCTGAACCAAGTATTTTGCAGTAACCTACTGCTGACATGTATCCTAGCCTGCTTTTCATCTGTTATTTTGAGGCAGTATTTCACTGAGTTTCCCAGGCAGGCCTTGAATTTGCAATCTTCCTGCCTCATCCTCCTGAATAACTGCAAAGATCACAGGTGGCCTGTACTGACTGGCTCCGTTTAGAGAAAATCGTTATTTTTGTAGGAGATACACTTGAATTTATTTCTTTACTTTAATAAAAGCAAATCTTAAAACCCTACATCATTTTCTTCTTTCTCACATGCAGCTTTTCCAGGTTTGCTTCTTTTAAACAAAGCACAAAGTTAAGTATGTGAAAAACTCAATAGTTTCAGAAGAATTATAATATTTATTTCATTTGATGGCATTACTACTGTAAATTATAAGCCCCTCTAGCAAGATCTATTTCAACATGTAATATGTGAAAAACACCTACATGGAAACCATTTTTCACATCAAGTAACACTCGGTAAAAATTAGTTTGCCACTCAGTTCTTTGATTCAGTATCTTCATGCACCTTCTCCTCCTGAGGGAGGAGGAAAACTCCTAATCTCGGGAACAACCACTGGTTGTTACTCTTTTATCTCAGTGTTTTGCCACTACCCCTAAGAGAAAGCCAGGTGGAAAATGTCCAGGAATGATTAAGGAAAGGGTGATGGTAATACCTTGAAGAATGCATGTTTTGAATTTGTCAACCCTCACTCAATATTTGTGTGACTTTGTCTAATCCCCTCCCCTTTCCCCCAAGAATTGAGGTTTAGACATTGTCATCAAAGCACTGAGCTGTATCCATCACATTTTGATACTTCAGGTTACAAGCCACTAACCCAACTTGGCATAGGAAACTTGGCATAGGAATTCCTGCCTCTTCGCTTTATATTTCGTTTTGTGACTCAGCCTAATCCTTTCAGGGACACATCCAAACCACGTCTGCCTGCCAACTTCTTTTGCACACACATGTTGGCTAAATCAGTCCCTCACCCGCAGCCGTCCTGGGAAGCAATGAGGTTCACAGTCTCATTTTTTTTTTTTTTAATTACAGAGTATCTTGTCTAAACACAGGACTCACTTTCACTTTCTGGTGTTGCCTCCCTGCTTTCATTTGTTCACGCTGCTTCTTAAAGGAATCCTTTGGCAGAAGTCTTCAGCGGAAAGTAGAACCTGATAAAACATTGATGCTTTAGCCAGCACTCAAAGCAGAGGGAGGTGGACCTCTGAGTTCAAGGCCAGCCTGGTCTACAGAGTTCCAGGACAGCCAAGGCTACACAGAGAAACCCTGTCTTGAAAAACCAAAATAAAAAAAAAAAAGATTGATGCTTGAATGAAGATGTGGAATTAGCACTTAGCTGGTGTCAGGGTTACAGATGTGCGTGTATTTTTAATACGTGAAGTAGTAGTTAGAAATGGCCAAAACAGCTAGTGTATTCTGGAACTCCAGGTTCCCTTGCATCAGGTGGTTTGGTTTTTCCTTCTCTTATCTTTTTTTTTTTTTTTTGTTCAACTTCAGCCTTGGATCCCATTCTGGTTCTCTCTTTGTTCTAATGTAGATCCCAGATAGGTTCTTTCATAATTGGTCTCGGGAGATGAAAAATCGCCCAAGCTCTGATCCTCCTTTACTTCATATCAATTCTAGAGTCAGGTTTACACTCTGTGGATCCCATGCCAACTTGTGAAAGACAGAGATTCGTGATAGTTAACACCAGAACTGAGTGCTACTCTGGAATTGTAATGACTCAATCAATTGTGACCCAAACAGCTACCTTATCATTCATTAGCTTTTAGGGATCTACTTCACCCACTTCCTACTCTTTGTCAGTACACACACTATGTCAGGTACGTCTGTCCTTACTTGGTTAAGTGGGGTCAGAATAAAAATGACACAAGGTACTTTTTTTTAGTTGTTGTCATTCTCCTATGACTAATTGTGAACAATAATAACCATCATCACAATGAGCCATGTTTGGCCACCTGAAAAGGGCACCATTTTTGTTTCAGGAATAGGGCATGTGATGGGAAATCTGACAATGGTCAGCTAGGCCAGGAAAGGAGGGCTAAGGAATAAGGAGATATGCTTTGTAGCATTCAAGGTCAGATGGCTATCATGGTAACTTTCTTTCCTTCCTAACCAGCACTGAGTGGTGAGTGGCCTTAAACTTATTGTATTATTTCTTTAATGCAAGCCCCGTATGAGCTCTGCCAAAAATGGAAATAAATAACTTTTTACTAAGGAAAAAAATATTGACCAGACCCTTTTAGTATATGTTTACATGTACATACTAGTACACGTGTGTATATATACATATGATATGTGCACATGTGAATGCTGTTTGTGTATATGTATTCCGAAAGGTACACATACACATCTAAACTCTGCTCATTTGGCAACAAGCACCTTTACGCAAGCTGTCTGGCCAGCTCCAAGCTGTTTTTTTAGAAAGTCCTTGAGACTTGCTGAGGTATGTCTAAAATGTAACCACATGCAATTTGTGTTACAGATTCAGCTTTTACAAGTCTGCCTGTTCGAGAAGAAATGATGGTAAAATACTCAAACTTTTCCCTGGAGAGCCATAATCTATCACTGACAGGTATGTGGATCATGTCTCAAAATGCCAAAAAAAAAAAAAAAAAAAGGTTTAAAAGGCTTTAGACTAGGCTTTGGTCTTTTCCCTGCTTTGTTTTTTAAATGAGTAAGCATGTTCTGTTCCAGTAACAACATTAAAATAGCACAATTAGAGTCTAAACTCTTTCAACCTGGTTACTACATTAGTAACAAGTATTTCACTTTTTTTTCCCTTCTTTCTGTCATCTGCAGTTTTGGGCTATTTTCCCAGTCATTTGAACTGTTTCTCTACTTTATTTCATGTGACTAGACAGTGTGTTGGGCAAATTTTCCAAGCCAATTGTTAGTGAAATGTGTGTGCTGGGAGTTTTTGTTTGTTTGTGTTTGCTTTTTGATAGAACATTAGAAAAAGAAAACTTTGTGCATTCCTTGTTTATTCCCAGATGTTCTCATTTCAGCATTTGGAATTAATTTCTGTAAAGGTCAGTTCTGTATTCCTATGTTGTTAATCCCTCTTTCTTTGTGCATATTGTAGTTGTTGGTTGCCACCACGGGATAAAACAATTATTTGAGATGGATACAGGGAAGAATTGTTTGTCCAGTCTGGCAGAGTGGCTTACAGGGCACAAGCCTCACTCAGCACAGCCTGGTGCCTGGAAATCAAGGATTAGTACTCAGTGCTACAACAAGAAATACTTCACTAACTAATACCGTGCTACGTATTCATCTAACCTACAGAAGGCTTAACTCTTAGCTACTCTTTGTTCTAATAGTTCAACTGAAACCAGATTCCTGCTTTTAGTGAAAGGAGCAGTTGGTCAGAGTTGCCCATTCTTTATTTCTTGCCTTGACTTGTGCACACATCACTCAGTCTTTTTCCTTCCTTGTAGCCCCTGCACTTGACTCTCTTCAAGTCTGAACATCTTAAGAACTGGTGCCCAGGCCTGACCATGACTTCTGTGTACTCAGTTTGTTTGTCTATTTTCCCTCTTAAAGTTCTTGCTAGCCTGCCTGTTTCTCCGTAAAAAAGAAAGCCTTGTTTGACATTTAGACACTTGAAGATTTTGAGTTGGGAGCTTTTCTCCTGTTGCAATCGTTCTTGTACAATAAAACCTTTATAAAGGTCTGAATTGGTGTTTACTTGAGAAAAGTAAAGATCTGACATGAGTTTTGGAGCATTGACCTGCCGAGCTGTGGTTGCAGTTCATGTAGACTTCTTGCTTCGGTTGCCATCGCATTAAAACATTCTCATGTTGGGAGCTACCTTTATTGGTACATGGAACCATAGGCATCATCTTACATGCAGTTATTATTATTATTATTTAAAGAATGTGTCTTATGAAAGTTGGTTGGTTTGAAGCTTGACACATCTCTCAAGCACTGGCATTAGAGGTGTTCACCATCATACTCAACTCCTGGCCAGACTTCGCCTTTTCCATGAACGATCCATTTTGCCAACAATGATTTCAACATCACCCCTGTTTGAAAATAGTGCCCATGGCGTGTCCCTATTGCGGCCTGTCTGTCGTCTCTTTCCTCCTGGGCAATTTGGAAACTGATATTTCTGTTAGCTCGATGTATGCTTTGTAGAGAGGGTCAATCCCAATACCTTAGTTACAAATTACAAGTCCTGAGTCAGAACGACAGCTTTGGCTGCGCTCAATAAATTTACTTAGTGAGAAAGGGAAACGTGGGCTCTGTGCCTGGGAGAATGAAAAAGAGTGGCCTTAGGTTTAAAAACAGAACAACCACAAAGAAATGGTTGTTATTTTTTTAACAAACAAAAATAAAACCTTATTTTTATTTGCTTGAGGGCGTCATGATGTTGACGAAGTGCCATGTGTATTATTTTTCTCTTAATAGGATTTACCCTTCACAGCAATTATTTGAAGTCAGCACCATTGTTATTTCAATTTGCAGTTGAAAACAGAGACACACAAAGAGATTGAGTGAATTGACCAATCCCAAGTGGGAACTGGGTTTTGAACCCAGGCAGTCTGGCGCCAGAGTCTCTGCTGGGCCAAATAACTTTTTAATGCCAACTTATTCATTTGTATTAGCATTATCACTAAAACAACTATGCCTGCTTTAAGGTGAGTGACACAGTAGCTTTGAAGTAATATATTCAAAATCTATGAAAATAAGGTCATATTAAATACTTTAAGCCCAATTAGGTTAGTTTTAGAGACTGTATTTCCTGAGTGGTGAGTTTGTGGAAGTATATTTGCTGTTACTAAGGAGGGAACAATCTCCGTCCCTCTCTCTGCTCTCACTTGGTTTTTAAAACCTATCTTTTGATAATGGACAATGTGGCTGTCATTGTTTATATTACTGTAATTAGAATGTTTCCTTATTGTTACTTTCAGTGCTTTTTCTTCTACAAAGTATACTGTTTAGTGTGTCAATGTTGTAGTTTAAACAATGCCATGAAAATCAAAACATCAACCAGCCTCTTTCTTGATCAGCCTGGTGAGGCACGCTGGTGAGCTTTCACATTATTGACCCAACCCATATTGTGTTTACCAGCTGAGGTGTGAGCAGCTGACCTGGCAAGGTCCCCAGGAGGGAAGGAGGAAGCATAAGCAGAAGTTGGAGGTGCACATATGCTAATTTAGCTGCTGTAAATTTTGCTGATGTCATTGGAGATGAGGAAATGCTACCTTGCTGCCTAGCCACAAGCAGGCAGGACCTCTCAGGCTGGAGAGTCTGGAACCTGCGCAGATGAAGGAGGGGGAGGTTCTGTGTGTCTGCTCTCCTGGACGGCTTGAGGCAGGGAAGATCCTAGAATGCTTTAGTGGCCTGAAGCCGTTAGTGATATTTTCAGGATCTAGTCTTCAAGTATTACATGAAGACTGATCATGTATGGAGAAGACAGTCACAGTGGGTGAAAGAGGAAGCAGGACACAGCGGCACTATAGCAGGACACAGCAGCAGCAGGTGGCCCTTGCCCTCCCACAGGGGTCTCTGCAGTAGCAGAAATATTGATGGTGTTGACTGGGTGGCTTTTTGTTGAGTGTGGAAGTCTAGGGCATTGTGGGATATGAAGTGATATCTTAGTCCTTTCAGGTGTAAGGCTGTTTGCTTATGGGGAATATAGTTGTCTTCTTTGTTCTACATATAACAGGGGGTATAGCTCTGTGTCTTAGGTTCTTGTCACTATAGTGGAATATTTGAAGCAGGGGACTCCTGAAGAGAAGCACTTTGTTTAGTGAAAGTTTTGAAAGTTTAAAGCCCAAGTAACTTCTAGTCTCCAGTCAATGCCCACGGGAGATGTTGAAGCCCCATGGGAAGAGGCATTGCTGTGTCTTGTATCTGGAGGCAAGGAGAGCTCTGTGAGGCCAGGCTGGCTGCTTGACTCATAAGAAGTGAAAGTTTTGACAAGAACCACCTAATCTCGTTGTAGGGCCCCTAGGGATCTGAGGATCACAGAGTAAGTGCCACCTCTCTCTCTCTCTCTCTCTCTCTCTCTCTCTCTCTCTCTCTCTCTC